GGGGAAAAGCGAGAACATTTGCCTCGTCTTTTAAGTGAGGTTCTTGGAAGTAGGAAATTGCCTTTACTGGTGGGTGAGATGAATAAAGTAATCCAAATTTGATGAATTTGTATTGTTTATTTATTCGTTTTACGTTGTTTTGTTTTCTCAGTTGCTGAAGGCGCAAACTAAGTTTTTAGGAAGGAATTGGAGAAAGAGTAACATGAAGACTATGTCCGCGATCTACCAAAGGGTCCGGCATCGGCTCAATGACGATTGGGCTTATGGGAACGGTGAGCACATCATTCATCGTGGATTTGACCTCTTATTGGTCGGCGCAAGTCATGTGAATGATTTCTCCCTTGAAAATTTCTCCCTCTTGCAATGGCCAAGCAGGAAACAGAACGTGACAGCCAACTAAAACACCCAAAAATTCGCGCGAAACTGCCACTGCTTTGAAATTATATTTGTCACAATATTCTTTTAGTAGAACCAAGACTGACAAAATACTAACGAGCAATTAGAGAAATTAACAAACAATTGTTCAACGGTACGAGTTTGGAAGGCCAATTATTTCAAAACATGTTTCCCCTTAACTTTTATCATAAGAGCTCGCACTCGTACTGTGATCTAAAGGCCTTCAAAAGTTATCCAACTGTTATTTTAATCAATAGATCTTGATGCCCGGCCCTGGGACTTCCAAGGTGAAGAAAACGCTTTGCGCACATGTGTAGATCGCTTCAACAACCGTCGATACGGCTTCGAGAATGGCGACCGCCTGGGAGAAAGCGTCGAAGAAGACGAGTATCAGCCGGTAGATAACGACGTTTTGAGCGTCTTAGGAGAGAAGATCGATTTGAGCAGCGATTTCAAGAATAACTACGAGAGATGGCTCGAGCGGGAGGTGTTTTCGGTGTCCATAGATTGGGATCAATTGTGCTCTTGTACAGCACAATGTGTGGAGTAATCAGCTACTTAGCATGCCTTCCTGTTTGACTCACTCGATCTGCACCATGTGTTGTGTACATAGTTTGTGCTCCTTGTTATGAAGAATGATAAAGTTATCAAATGTTTTTTTTTTCTGGTGGTCATTACCTTTTTTGGATGTTCTTTCAAGTCGCGTAGTCCACTCTTTTGAACGATCACTCTGTGAAGCGACTACTTCCCTTCAGCGTCCTGCATATATATGCTCGTTAGAATTCTTTGCCAAATACCGTTTCAAGAACTCTTAAATTAGCGTCCCTTCTTCGATCTTCTTCACCTTACGCGACCCTTTTTGAGGCCCTAAATTTGTCAAAGTTTTTTGTTTTTTGTTTCCAATAAGGACCATCATTAAGATAAAAGGAAATCTTTGGGTTACGCCGATGGGTCAAAACTAATTTATAAATAGGCATATAGATATACGCACAAATTTCAAATCATGTTGCCATGTCATTTTGTGGCAATTGATTTCTAGTGATTTAAAAGGGATTCTGTTTCAAACTGCCAATGTGCTTGTCACAAAAACCAAGGGTTAAAAAGACGCGTAGAGTACGCTAAGACTGTTTCAGAATTATGATTTTTTAAGAAAAACTTTGTATAACTGCGTCATTAAACCAATGAGAGAAGAATAAGTGTTTTCTTTCAGTGGATGCAATTGAATTTTTCTCCTTTTATTTTTGGATTTATATTTTGATCTTTGTTTTACTGGGACCACCTCCTTTGAGTGACCATTTCCCCTGCTCTAAAGGTGGTCGCACGAGAGAAGATTGACTGTATTAACCAACAACTGGAGGTTTCGCCGCATTACAAGTTCACTCCCGACCACCTTTGCGAGCTTACCCCTGTACTAAAAAAATTTTGCCCCTAGAATCTTTCAACTCGTTTCATAACTCCCGAAAGGATTCTGTCGAAATCATACAATATCCATCAACATGAACTTTATGCAATGGGGCTACTGATAAAAAGTTATCTTAAACAGAACTGTGATTTGAACATTTTAAATCCTGTCATAGTGCACTGCGGCGCTCGAAAACAAATGAATACAGATTTGACATTTGAAGGCGATTCAGCATGAGTTTCCGTTTTGGACTGATATTAGAGTTAACGTCTGAAAGGGAAGTAAGCTAGATGATAATTTCGCCTCCACGACAACAGAGATTCCAAATCGATCCGCCAAAATTGTGGACTTCATACGGATGTATGTCAGCACTCTTGATTTCCTTGGAAAAAGTGTGAGAAAGGTGATCAACAACAACAACAACAAAATATATACGTGTTTCGAAGCAACGACTCTACCCACCAAGCAACTCTTACTAATAAAAGGTAACCTTTTCTAGGCGTACATTGAGTAAAACGGAACACTGTACAAACGGCAGAGCTAAAAGGAGGGTGAGGGGGCTTGGGACAGGTCGTCGATACTCCACCCTACCCAAGCCCCCCCTCGGTTTTTCAGTTCTTTGCCACTATGGCGCCGTTCACCATTGCGCTTCGCTTTAATTACTGAGCGCCTAAAGCAGGATCAAAAAAAAAAAACAAACAAAGGCATTTTATGACTGGGCTACCACAGGTATCCCAGTAAATATCAGGTTCACGAAAAAAGATAAACAAAAGAAAATTCGCTTTAGCGCTTCACAAACCTTTATTTCCAAATAATTCCATACTACAACTTTGTACAAATACTGTTTACAAAAATCAGTTTCTATTTTGAAAGATATTTTTCAACACTTTTGAAGTTAATATGACGTACTCCCAACAGAGCAACCTTCCTATAAAACTAGTCTTTCAAGTTTAAATCTAACGGCGACTTGTTACTCGGGCTTCCTGTAGAATGCCCGAGTTATAAATTGGGGGTTGTTTTTCCCCGTCTTGAGACGCAAAACGCAGTCAAGTTCTCATCACGCTTGCGCAAGCTTTTGACTGTGACGCGCTTCTAAGTTTTCTCACAAGCTTTTAACAGAGATTATTATTTTAATAATAAAAATAATAATAATGATAATGATAATATTACCATTAATAATAATTATAATACTAATAATAATGATGATGATAATGATAATGAAATGATCCAGGTCATGGTAACATGACCTCAGTTGTCTTTCTTTTCTTCTCCTGTTTGGTTCTCGTCTTTCTCCAGTTTGGCCTAATAGAAGAAAAACAAAACTAATTAAAATCAATCTCAGGTAGGTAACAGTAACTGGTAAAATGTCAATCTCAAGAAAAACCAGTTGATTCTCTTTACAATCCTAGTTCCTTATTTCTTTACCGTAAATACTTTCCTAAATCTCCTTCTACATTAATTCTGCGCCCTTTCTAGAACCTCTTGTTCCCAATGAG